GTAGCCTATACATCCTTAAGTCTCGTTTGAACTTCTGTAATTCAAAAATGACTGAGAAGAAAGTCAGTTGGCAAAACATTATATTGTTAATGTAATAGAAGAATAGCGTGTTTCACATTTTCTGAAGCCTCATGTGAATTTAAATAATCCAAAGATGATTGCTTGAAATTTTATTAATCCAAAAATGGCGGAGAAGAAATATAATTGACCAAATATGATATTGTCACTCTACTAAAAATTGTTATAATGTTATTAACAATCTTCTGCATTCTCTTGATTCATATTGTCTTGAGTTCCAATAATCCAAACATTTTCTACATGTCCTATAAATCATACTTTTGTACACTTTTTATTATGTTTATCAATGTTTTATTAATGTAACATTCAGTAACTGTTAAAATTTCAAAGCTTTGTCATTGTTTGTATGTAAGGGTTCATAAAGCCTTAAGTAAAGTCTTGATCAGATCTTTATATCATTCTTTTATATTCATCCTAATTAACACTATTTCTACTGGTGTCAAAAGACACCTTCTGAAATTTTTATAATTATTAGTTTATTACTTTTTCCTCAATTAAATTGTTCACATTTCCTGGTTGTTAAATTAATTAATTAAATCAAGGAAAAACGATTAAACTAAGAATAATAATTGGTTAAAAAAATTCAAAAGGTGTCTTTCGACACTGCTTGATATAAATAGTATTATAACATGGCTTATTAATGTTCCTTATCCAATATAATGTGTAACCTAATCGAAAACAATAAATCCTACAAGAAACCTAAATTCAAATACTATTTTCTAAACATGAACCACTATTTGATTTCAAACGTCGACCAAAAACAAAACGTTAATTCCAAATCCCTGAAACATCCCCTGCAGAGAACAAAAATGTCTCCCCTGACAAAGGAGCATAGTTTGTCCGACGAAATCATAGCGGAAGTTCCGCTGGTTTAAGGCGGTTCCCAGCATCTTCCCAAACGGCGGGAGGAAGAGGAACAGGGAGGGACGCGGCGGAGGGAACGCGGGCGGCGGAGGGGGGGGTGGCGGCCGCGAGGGTGGAGAGGCCTTCGCCATCCTCCCCAAACGCTCTGTGCTCGCATTTGTACAGTGGTAATGGGCTGTCAGGAGCAGACGCTTGCTGCTCGTACCTTATACTACACCAACACCATCACGTTCCGCTCTTGGCTCGGTTCCTACCGCCGCCCCCCTATTATCAACCCCCACTGATTGCGCTCTATCCCTCCAGCTTTGCTCACCCTCTTCGACCGCCTCCTTCGATAACGTCTTCTCGTTCCTGTACAGAACGACCGACTACTATTGCGTCGTTCTGACTATATTTTAGGCGAGCGAACACAATTCTCTGCTGTTGCCCTTGTACGATCATCGTTTCTATTACTACAACAGTTTATGCTTATAATTATATCTATTGTTGTTAAGGGGACTTATCAGTGTGGAACTTTAAAAAAATCGAATTTTTTTTTGCATTTTTCGAAAGTTACCTTCACAAATATTATACTAAAATTTCAAGGTCAGATTTCAACTAGTTTTCGAGTGGCAACCTTCTACTAGTATTAACACTAGATTGCCAAAGGAAGTCATTTTGACTGCTTTTGGGCAAATGTGCAAATAATAATGCATA